GCATTAGTGTGAACCGGTTTGTTCAAGGACGTCGATCAAGTGATTACCACACATTTTGAGTGGGTGGAATCACACTGAAAGGCTTGTGAAAACGGTCATTCATATTCCTTCACAATCAGAGTTGTGAATAGAATCCACTCTTTTCAAGTGAATTGTAAATAACCACGGAGAATTGTAATCGATAAATACGACAGCAAAAAAAGTTTCGTTTCCAGACAAATCAAGGGTGTCATATGGTTTTGTTACCCAGAAGCGATGCGCGGATCACCGAAGCTGGCATTGGTCCAATGGCCTGTAATCTGAAGTGATTCAAGCTTACGTGACGCTGTTTGACTCCACAACTGAGTATGGATAACACTCAGTGAATGATGAAAATCACGCGTTCAAAGTAAACCGTTTTGATTTTGGAGGCTTGCACAAAAATATTGGTAGGAAAGTTGAAAAAGTGATAAAGGACACTACTCACAAAGCTGCTGAAAATTGTTCAACAGCCCGCGACCGGTTTTGCCCTCCTTTGGGCCCATCAGGCAGACACGAGTTTACCTCAGCTTTATTTTCTACTTGAACCCAAATTGGACTGTTTTCGAGAACTGCACTCATTTGGCAAATCAATTTGATTTTCACGAGAGACTCAACTGAATCACTTTTATGATATTCCATAAATATGCCTTTGAATAACAAAATCAACGAGAAAGGTAGAACGGGGTTTGAGTTTGAACAGTGCCGCCTAAAATTATAGTTCTGCGCAGCCAATTTATCGAGCAATCGACCGAAGTCCGTGTTTACTAGATTTCGGGGGCATGAGTACAATGAAAGCTAACAAAACATGGGACTTTCTTTATGGATCTAAAAAGCTACTATTTCCCAGGATCCAGGTGAACGCCGATTGGATGGAGGGCGCCAAACTCTCGAGAGTTGAAATATAAAGGAGGAAGAAGTATCCAAGCGATAAGTTTTAGATAGAATGCGGGTGGAAGCGCAAGTTTTTGGAAATGAGACGTTTTGGGACGCACTGCAACCCTGAGAAATGGACACCCCTGAAATTCCACCTCGCGGACATTCAGTAATCGTACTTCGACCCGGTCCACTGACCGTTGAGAATTAAAGAACTATGGAACTGCGAATAACATCATTGAACAAATTACCCGACCTCAAGCACCTGCCACGAGCCCCCAGATTCTAGAATTTATCAAAACTGTTTGTTTATCGACTAATTATCATTTAATTATCAACTAATCAATGCGGTTCACGGAAGCGAAACTTGTTTCACTGCTACCGTTTTTGTACCGGAGCATTTGACGCGGCAATATACGCGAATTAAATAACATGATCTCCATT